ATACAAAAACAGAAATATATATACTGTGACATAGCTTTCCAAAGGTTTTAAAGTTTTGTTCTTTCATTTCTATAACGTTCCCACAGAACCAAAATGATACAGCAAATTATCCATACTTCTCCGACTATAGAAATTATGCACATTTTGGACCTATAGAAATTCTTCATTTGCACTTGAATTTCTTTTGGGTGCCGGACTGAAAAATTGAGAGTCATATAGGTTAGTAATAGAAATATAATCTGTAACGAATTTCCAAATTACTTATTTCCACTGTGTAAATGTAGTCTTCTTTGGTCCCATAAAGTGAAGATCCTCAAAAAGAACACACAACCTAAGGCAATTAACATATGGTTTCATTAAACTTTTTGTAGTAGGTGCTATATGCCTCCCAATATTTAGCTGTTTCCATTTTTGGAACAGAGGATCTCTATCGGGCCAGTAAAATCATGATTGAGTAATGACATTATTCTTTTTTATATTGCAGTGAAATTTATCTTATAGCATATTATGTTTTCTTTCCAAGTTTCTACATGCTAACTCTTTTTAAAATAAAGTATCCTCAAATATCACCAGCGTTAAAATATAAAACACAAATCAAAACAAAGTCCTTTTTTTAATGAATGTTATGAAAAAACTCAGACAATTTCACTATAGAATACAAAATCTTCAAGGCATATCAAGACAAGAAATAAGACTGATATGCTGATTTCTCAAATGTCATGGTCCCCCATAGATTTTGACTAGGACCAATATCAAAGATGATATATTTGGCTTTCAGACTTGAGGTATATTATAGTACAATGTCTGCGCAAGCAAGTTCTGTGCAAGGAGACTCAACTGCAACTTTTATCTTTATTATAATGAAAGCCACTGCCTAGATAACAAAAAGAGGAAGTATAGTTAGACAGAAGAGTACAGAGCATTTATTACAGCATTATGATTTCATTCCGTACTTCTTCAAAAAGTGGAATTACATCATTTCCAATCTATGATGGCTGACTGGTGTGAAGTGGAATGGGCCATAAGCACCTTGAAGTACATTGCTGTTGCTCTATGCAGTTTAACTTCACAACAAACATGTGAGGTCAGGCATAATTTAAAAAAAATGAAGAAAAGGTCACACAGTCAAGTTTTGTGACTATGTGAGATTTGAACATAAATCTCATCAGACTTCTTGCTACTCCACAATATTGTTCTTCTTTGACAAAGGCACAGAGCTAATGGGATATTGGTGAAGTATAGCTCTCTGCAGTCCTAGCAATTATATTCAAAGGGAAAAAATATTGGATATTGTTGTTCAGCAGTATCTCTAGAACTGCAAATTCCCCAGTAGGGCCCTATGTTGGTAATTCTTTTTTTCCCACCATGTATGTGCCTCAGAATGATTGCACTGATGTAAGAGTGGGACGTGAGCTGTGGGAAGAGCGCATTTAAGATTTATTTTAACACGGAACCACATACAGACATGCCTTAAAGGGCAAATGCTATAATACATAAACACTTGAAAAGATCGAGAGCTATTTCACTGTCTACTTTATAAAAACTTCTTTGAAAAAAATTGTAATCTTGAGCAAAGGAATGGCACAGAAAGTAAGGCACTTAATAATCCTAGGTTTATTCTTGAAATCAGCAGCATTTTAGCTACTGTACTTAAAACAAACATTTGAACTTGGAAAAGGCCATGGATGTTTCAAAAAGAGAAATGGCAGGCAAGAGACGGGCTGTACGTTGCTGTGTCTAAAACATTTTTTTCTTTAAAAAAAAATCCAAATGGTGAAAAGGAATCTAGTACTCCATTTCTTCATGTGAAGGATATGCTCAATAGCAAATACACACACACTCTTCAACTATACAGCCTGACATTATGAAGCTATTCCTATGTAAGTCAGTGGAGCATATATATAGTCTATCATGTCTCATAAGGCCTTCCCCAAAATGAATTTGTTTCCAAAGCAGCAGGGATCAAATCAGAAGCCCATTTAATGCCATTTTGGGCTGAATGAAATTAAACTACCTTTGATACAACTACCTGCATGTTATATATGTAAAAGAGCATGCTTTGCAACAGCAGTACATGGATTTAAAATTTAAAAAATCAATAAAACCATGATAGTGTTCCATTCTCAATACCAATTCACCAGTAAACTGTTACCAGAAAAAGTTGTGTATATCAACTATTTGTTACAGAGTTATGTTGCAAGTTCAACTTTTTTACATTATTTGTTTTTTTTTAGAAAAGTAAATTCCTTTCCCTGACAGAAACGTGCATAGTTTAAACAAGAATATAGAGGCAGTGTGGTCTAATGGTTAAGGCACCAGGCTAGAAAGCAAGAGACTGTGAGTTTCTGATCTTAGCCATGAAAGCCCAGCTAGTTGACTTAGAGCCATTCGTTCTCTTTCTGCTCACTCACAGGGTTGTTGCTGTGGGGAAAATAGGAAGAGGAAGTGTGTTGAGTATGTCTGCCCTAAAAATAATAAAGGTGGGATACAAATCAATAAAATTAATTAAAATATATAACGTATAATAAGACCATATAAGAGAGAACCTCTCTCACTCTTAGATAGCTACCAATGTTTCCCTGAAGTAACCAAGCAAAATACTTTACTTCTAGATTTTTAAATTGATTACTATTACACTTTTGCAACTCTTGTGGCTGTATTGATCACTTTTTAAAAAAAGCATCTCTATTTACATTTCTTATGTTTCATTTTTTACCTGCGAATATATTTAAATTCTGAAATAAACAGTGGATACAGCATCCTATAGTCATAGTATCAAAAGGTAATACATCTTGGAGATCATCCAATCCAACCCCTGCTTCATAGCAGGATTCACTAGAGCATCTCTGAAGATGACCATCTAGCCAATCTTGAAGATCCCAATAAGGGAGAACTCAATACTTCATAAGACAGGCTGGTCTACGGGCTGATTGCTCGTCCGGTTATGAATATCCTCCTGATGTCTAGGATAAACCAACTTCTTTGTGCAGGTAGTCCTCGAATTACGACAACTCAGCCCAAAATTTATGTTGTTAAGTGAGTTTTGCCCCATTCTTTCCTCAGTTAAGTGAGTCACTGCAGTTGATAAATTAGTAACTTGGTCATTAAGTGAATCTGGCTCCCCCATTGACTTTGTTTGTCAGAAGGTCACAAGAGGTTATCACATGACTTTGGGTCATTGCAACCTTCATAAATATGAACCAGTTGCCAAGCATCTGAATTGTGATCTCCTGTTCATGGGGGTGCTGCAAAGGTCATAACTGTGAAAAATGGTCTTGTCACTTTTTTCAGTCCCTTCGTAACTTTGAATGGTCACTAAACAAACTGTTGTAAGTCAAAGACTACCTGTAGTTTTAACATACCTGTTCTAATTTTGCACCTTGAGCAATAGAAAAATAAAACCCACTCCTCCTACATTACAACCTCTTAGATACTGCTATCATATCCCACTCAATCATCTCTTCCATAGGCTAAATATATACAGGACCTGTTAACGGCATAAGAAAATATCAGCAACTTAAAGTCCTTTTAACAAGAACAAGAAGAAAAGATTTCAAGTGTGAATAACTTCGGAACCTGAGTGTGCTCTATGTCATCATAGAGCAATTAAAATGGGGGAGTGGGAATCAATTCTCTATGTTGCCAAATAACAACTCACAAAATGCACATGCATGCATTCACAACCATCTAAACTTGACAGATATTATAATATACCTTCCATCTCTATCTCTCTTTTTTAATGCAAAGCAACACTGGGAGCAAGCTTTGAAATTTTATCGATACCACCTAACATGCTCATTGCTGATATAGTAAGTTAGAAGCTGCCTACTTCACTGCTGACAGTTGCAGATTATATTCAGCTCAGCTAAGACTAGGGAACAGCAGCTGAGGCTAGAGAGTACATAGCAATGGAGAAGAGGGAATTACATCACAGAATTATTCTTTTCACCGTACCTAGTGTTTTGTCTTTACCAATGTCACTAACAGTCAGTCTCTGTCTGAGAAAATGCACCAGGCAGAATAAGATGAATTAGACATCATTCCTAGAAATTAAGAGCAAACCTAAAGGCATTGTGAAGAAGATACCCCTCTGGAAATATCCACGGAGGACCCAGCACAACCCACTTCTTGGGAAGGAACTGATCTTCTTTCTGGGCTGATAACAGAGCAGCAGTTGTGCACCTCGTGTTATCTTCACTGGTCCTGCAATGGTTGCGTGGCATAAGCCTGAACTAAATCCTTTGACAGGGCACAAAGTGCTGCTCCATACAGGGAAGCTGTCCGATCATCTTTCATTCAGTAATAAGCACTTTTTAAACTCACATTTGACAACCAGCCTGAACTAATAATGGAAACAGTCTTTAGTTTATTTGTTGCGCGCCACAGGAGGAGGAAAGCGCCTCTTGTTATAGCAACATCCACTTTTTTAAAAAAAGCTTTTTCGGTCTACTTGTGTCAAAAAGTGGTCCCGAGTGATAATTACAAATCACCTTTTATTTATTGTATGAGTGCAACCCATCTTAGCTGGTCAGTTGAATGGATCAAAATGGGATATTCTTTAACCGGCTTGCACCTCTTTATTCTCCGTTAAAATCATAGGGGTTTTTTTTGTTTTGCTTTTGTTTTGTTTTTTTGAAGAAAAGGTTGCAGAAGTATTTTTCCTGCCCTTTCGAAAAACCGGCGACCGAATGTAATTCTGAGGTTGCATCCAGAACCTCGGAAAGGGGGGTGGGGTGGGGGACACCGGCAGATGCCGCATGTCCCGTCCTCCCCCAGGGGAAAGCGGATCTTCCATTCATCTCAAGCACTAATTAGGACCCGGGAAAGATGTGAGGCTGGCAAGAGCCCACCCGTGGCTGGACGATCCACGCGTCCATTCGCTTCGCAAAACTCCGGCCACCCTTTCATGCGCCGCCCACCCCCTCCGCACACCAAGTTTTGGGGTTTTTTTTGTGTTTTATTTTAAAAGATAAATTATTATTTTCGCAGTCCCCGCTTACCTTCCAGCCAGCCGAGCTGTTGCTGTCGCCCTTATCCTTGAAGTAGGGCACGCAGCGCACCATCCACTCGTAGATTTGGGACAGGGTGAGGCGCTTCTCCGGCGAGCTCTGAATGGCGCGGGTGATCAGGTCCGCGTACGATAAGTTCCCCCACGCGTTTCTCCGGGACGAACATTTCCGCGGCGCGGCCGCTGTTCCCGCCGCCACTGGCTGAGGCTGCTGCCCGCCGCTCAACGCAGAGGCGCCAGCTCCCTCCCCGGGCAGCCCGGAAAAGGGAACCAGCAGACGGGCCGTGTCCTCCGAAGCAAGAGCCTCGCTGGCACCGCCGGAGACGGAGAGGCCGGCGGTTGAGGTGCCCCCTTGCTCCTCATCGTCAGCGTCGTCGTCCTCCTCGGGAATCATGGAGGCGGCGTCGGCGGCCGCGTCTCCCGAAGGCTTGGCCGGGCTCGTTTGAAGCTCGGGCCTTTGCAGGGGCCACGTACAGGAGCGAGGACGGCTCTGGGGCTCGAACTCCGGGTCCAGCTCCACGTCCAGAGGGGACAAGGGCGCGGGGGGAGACACTTCAGCCATCTTGGCCTCCCCCCCCGCTTTTGAGGCGATCCCTCCTGTCCTTTCCCGCTGTCAGACGGGATCCCGATCCACGCTCCGGTCCTTTCTCCTCGCCCAGCTCCCTGCTAGAGATTAGCGAGCTGGAGCGAGCACGCCGCTCTCCATTCAAGGTCCGGCCGCCTCCTTCCTGCCCGCCACCTCTCGCTCGCCTCCCGCTCCCGCGAAAGGAAAAGTTCTAAGGCGATCCGCAAGCGATCCGGGGGTCTCCTGGTTGCAGGTTAGCGCTCTTTCCGCTGCCCTTTGAGGCTGACCGATTTGGGAAGCATTTCCAAAGACGGCGGAGCTGGAATCAAATCGCGGCTCTGCGCCCGCGCGTTTGTTTATCTTTCGCTACGCGTCGGAGTCGTCCAATAGCATCGCTCTGTAGCTATTAAAGAGATCCCCCCCCCAATTCACGCGACCCCCCGCATCACCATTATTATTATTATTATTGGTGGTTTTTTTTTTAAAAAAAGAGATGTTCGCGAGTCTCTCCGTTGCTGGTTTGATGGACGCCTTCGCTCTTTTACAAGTCCTTCTTCTCACCGACTTCCCAACGTCTTCACGGAGAGCACCGAAGCCTTAACAACAACCCATCCGATCGCGGCTGCCCCATTTGTGATCGCTCTTGATTCCTCCTCGGGGAAGAAAAACAAAAAAGGAAAGAAAAGAAAAATCCGAAAGCGGTGAAGGAAGAGAAGCCAGTCTTTATATATATATATGTATGTATATATATTGGAGCAAGGAGAGGAAAACTTAAAACGCCCGTCCTTCTTCTCCCTTCTCCTTCTTTTAAATCCTCTCCCTCGGCGTAAAAAGAAAGTGACGCGGAGAATTCAAACAAGTCCAATCGCCGACCTTCCAACAGGTCCGGAAACCCAAGTCCTCCGCGGGCTCCCGAGGTTTCGTTCCAGCCTCGGCACCAACCACATTCATAACCTCCTCGCTCCTGCTGCCATCTTGACAGTTTCCCCCCCTCCCCCTCCACTCAAGTCATTTAAAAAAGAAAGCAAGCGTCGGCCAGAAAAAAAGAAGAAGAGGCAGGGCGAGAGGTCAAGCAGGCAAGGGGCCGAACGGAAGGAGCACAAGCGAGAAGCAGCCGTCTCGGAGGCGAAGCTTTAAAGCCGGACCCGTTGGGCAGGCGGAAAACCCAGCTCCAAGTGCACGGGAGGAAAACGAGGCGCCGATTCTACCGCTGCTGCTGCTGCTGCTGCTGCTGCTGCAGGATTCTTGATTTTCGAGCCGTTCCACTTTAAGTAGCAGAAGGAGCATTAAAAGGAGGGGGCAACCCCCGCCGTTGGCAGCACGCTCCCTCCCCGGAGAGAAAGCAAGTGGCGGAGCAGCGGCGGAAGAGGCACCCTGGAGCTGCCGCCGTTCCCTCAAGCAACCTGTCGCCTTCCCCTCCGCCGACTTCCACATTCCTTCTCCTAACAACCAGGAGCGGCAACACAAAGTTATAGACACACGCAGGGAGACGCAACCTAACCCCGTCGCAGCTGATCCCCGCCCACAAAGGAGGCGGGCGAAGGGGCGAGAGCTCCGGCTCTCAGTACTACATACGCACCCGCCCGGCTGGCTGAGGGTCCGTCAGCCAACTTGGCGCCTTTCTCGGAGCATCTTTCTTTTAATTCCTCCGCCGCCAGCAAAGCGCTGATGGGATTGAACTAGCCGTGTGCGATGTTGCAACCAAAAACCTGGGCATAAAGAGGAACGCGTTTAAAAAATACATTCCGAAAATCAATTTTCTCGATTGCAGTTAAAACAAAACAAAACACGATGATGTACCTCTACGGCTCTCCGGCATTATATTTCGCTTTTTTTTTTTAAATTCTATTCCCCTGACCTTAGCAGAGACTTTTAGAATACATAAAACCTGCAGGTCTATGTTGATCACTCTGTCCTATATTAAGATAGCGAGCAAAATTTTGCAGTTCTCTCGTTTTATAACGAAGCACGGGTGGCTTGGAAAAACATCAGTGCCTTTTCTTTTGCAAAGATCTTTCCACTACTGTGTATTCTATCGAGCCATTTCTAAGATGTGTTAAGCCAAAGATATGTATGTAACCAGTCAGAAGGATGAGGCCACTTTTAACTTTGAAATAGAAACATTGTCTTTCTTAATTGGTAGATTAACTTTAGACATTTATTTTCTATTTCCACTTTTTAGTCAGATGTCTTGATTAATTGGTCCTATAACAAAGGCTGGTCTAGAACTTCAGAATTACTAGAGAATGATGTGACTGTTCAAATGTGGACCCAGGCGAAGGCTATGCTGGCAATAAAATCTTAACATACATACAGGCCTCAACCAGGGAAGGTTTCCTTGCAGTAAAATGATATTCCACCTATTCCTCTGCATATTTTTCTTAAACAATTACACCCAGAATGCCTGAGGTGAGGGAGGTTAATTGCCAAGTACCAAATCACCCTAAAATCAAACTGAGTATGAAAACTTTAGAACATCATCAGGTCATGAAATATGTGTAAATACAACTGGCTAGGCAATTACATTTTGCATAACCATGATTTATCATTACTTTTAGTAGGAAAATATTACACATTATAACATCTCCTACAGAAACATATGAACACATTTTATTTTGGCAATCACATCAGCTCAATTTTCAGCCACTAAAAGCTAAGACCTTAGATTTCGTTACAATATTTCGTCGATTAAGAACAAATTATCACATTATTATTAACGTGTGTTCCAGTGAAGTTTATAGATGTAAGTTTTTCACGACGTATTTTAGATCACCAAAAATCTAAGATATTTTCAAGAACGCGAGCTCATATGTGATTAATAATTGAGACAAACTCTAGATTTTGGACATACTGAAGATGTTTACTTCTTATCTCTGAATACATGCATTCAACTGGGCTGCATGTCTCCGGTACAGTTTATATATCATTTGACAATCCTATTGGAGATGACCCTAGTTAAAACATAGTTATCTGCTTTCTGATATTTTTTAAATAAACATTTCTTAAAACGTTTTAATTTTAATTTGACTCTCTTTAAAACAATAAAATGATTTTCTTATTATTTTTAAAGATTAAACTCACTTCCCAAGGGGTTGTTTCTTTTAGAAAATTCTCTTTTTAAAGTAGCTTTCCCCAATATAATGCCTCCAGATGTGCTGGATTTCAGATGTTAGATAGGGATTATGGAAGATTTCAATGCATCTGGAGCACACTTGGCTGTGAAAGGATAGTTTTTAAACAATACTTTGTGAATACAACAGTGAAACCCTGAAAAAGGCACTTTCCCTACTTTTTCTTACACCCATCCACAGGGAAAATATGTCCTAGCAATTGTTTTTTTTTACTGTGCCCCCATGATAGAACCTCTGTCTCTTCCCTATTTCATCCATGAGGCATTCTTATTGGTATTGAGGCTAAAGCCATTTTTCCCCCTTTGCCCATTATTGCTGTTGTCTGAAAGCAGTTTCAACACATACAGTTGAAAATCTTAGCTTTGTTCCAGCTTTGCCCCACCTATTACTCGGGAGGAAATTCAGTGACATAAAAGAGAGGCTATAGGCAAGTCAGGGAATAGTAAACTGGATAGTAAATTTCGTGTTAGGAAATTGTTCTGACCACTCGCGGATGGATGGAGATCGTTTCACAGAGGGGAAAAGTCCAAACCTCATTAGCTTTGTCTGTTAAAATGTGTCATGCATCCAGATGGCAGCAGGTACTTCCTTTCATGGGATTGCATATACGTGCCAACTTTAATTGCCATTTTGTATAGCTATTACTACTGTATTCAAGTTTTTAAAACTCGGTAAGGTTTTCACAGGTTCTCATTCAACTTGTAGTTCTCAGGGTATTATATGCCATTTGTCAGAAATGGTGTAGGGTCTCCTGCTTGGGTGGGAGGTTGGACGAGATGACCTACAAGGTCCCTTCCAACTCTGATTATCTGTTAAATCTAATAAAAAATCCCATAGATATGGATTTCTTTCATCAAAATCCTCACCGACTGCTGATAATTTACTTGTAAATTAATACTTGTTCAGAATTATCTGCTTTATTGACATAAAACAGGGGAGTTTATGAAGGTGGTTAAATTTCATGTGCATAGGAAACAAATAATGTACCCTGTTTCTCCAACAATATGGCCTCCCCCAATAGGAAGTCCCAGCACATTTTATAGGCATGAAATGAAATTAAGCCCCTCCCCCCAAATTAAGGCCTATATTAAAACATGCGAAATGGGGGGAATGGTGGGGGGGCTTGCTGTTAAGAAGTACTTTTGTTGCACACCCGGATATGGTGCTGCCTGCGTTGACCCCGATACGAAGTGCCCCACCAACGCCGAGGTCAACATCCAAGCCGTCGCCACCCACCCGAAGATGCAAGGGGGGGAATTAAGTCATCCCTGAAAAGACAGCATAGCCATTTTGGGGGGTTCAAAAAAAAAAAAAAAAGACCCGGCCTTATTATATGAGAAACACGGTAGCTATTTAGAGTAAGCGCCAATTGTATCACAGTCCAAATAATTCATGCAAATAATAAACAAAAGTGATGTTATAAATACACCTATTTGGCGTAGTGATTAAGATGTTGTATTGGCAGAGGCCTCCCTCTCCTTAAATTGCAGTACTCAATGCTTCCAGATAAAACTGGTGCAGAGGTATTTGTCTGCAACCAACACAATTCAATTATTACTAGACAAATTTTATCTAATGCCTAAGAAACGCGTGTTCAGTAAGGCAGCTATTGTATTTCTGTGCAAGAGGGGAGCAGGGAATCTATACCTCTTTGAGAGAGGGGATAGAAATGGAAATATGGGTTGGTTTTGATGCTATTTGCAATGTAACTATGAGGCCCTTGTCAATCCTCCATGTTCCTGCTTAATTAGACACTGGCCAGACGCCTTCTCTATCCAACAATATATAAGAAGTATTTCCCCCTTTAAACCAATATTATTCCACCAAGCTTCAATATGTGTAAAATCTGTATCACTTCATCTGGAACCCATTTACTTAGAAGTATGGGTATGTTTGACAAGTGTCTTTTGGGAATATGCTGGTTCTTCTCTTCTGGCCACTAGCAAATTTCCACCAGTCCTTTCTCTTCTATTACCACTTTCTGTCTGGAAAATTTTAAAATACCATTTTTCAAATCAATTTCTCTACAGCAAGGAGCACAAGATCCATCCTTATTTGGGGGCGGGGGGAAGATGGCACACTCTAACAGTATTCTGAAATGGGCATTTGTGAGCATTTTACTTTTTAATGAACCAGCCACCCTGCTTTACCTGATTGTAATGTCCAGAAACTGTGAAATTCTGTTGAACTTTTTTTTTCTTATCTGCTAGTTTCCCTAATTTTTGTTACATTCACTATATCTCCTCCAATTACGTTTTTCAACTTGGCAGGGTTCAGCCTAGTTAAATAATGATGGCAGTCTGGAGTTATTTCTGTTCTGCTATATTTTGGTGTCTTTCTTTATTTTACACTATTTTAACTATATCTCACAAGTGGGCTAAGGAATAAAGCGAGATAAATGTAGCCTAGGGATTGGCAACAGAAAGAGCAGATTTTACAATGACATTGTTTTGTGGCAGTTCAAGAATGGGTGTGTGCTGTCCAGTCAGTTTAGAGTTAATGGGATTTGGATAGTTAGGTAGCAGTTGTGAGCTGTCCCCTTAAGGGAATGCATTATGGTAACTGTAGCTAAGGTATCCTGGGAAATGTAATCCATATCACGTGACTACATCTGTAATCCTGATTGGTCATTAAATTGACCCTCGATGGGTAGGAGGAGTTTTCCTCACTCTTGGCTAAACTCATGGACTTGTAGTAACTGTTCTACTTCTATCGTTACAAGATGGGAGAAAAAGGATAGGAGATAAACTATCTTTTTACCTGCAAGACAGATATACAAAGGATTGGTCATTAAAGAACAACTTCATCACAAATGTGAGTTAAGAGGATACCTGATGAACCAATAAATGTACTTTGTTATGGACGTCTTGTTGAGTTTATCGATCTGCATCTGTACAGCTTACAAATCCACCACTGTACAGAATACAGAACAGTAAAAAGATGATTAATTTGAAGTCCTGAAGCCCATCAGTATAAAGAGAGTTAATTTGTACTTGTGATAAAGCAAAGTAAGGTTGAAGCCAGGAGTGAATGTAGAATGCTAAGTCCTGTGCCTCAGTTTGAATTGCAGGGAGGGGGCAAAAATCCCCCCTTCCCCTTTTACACAAGAGACTTTTCAAATATCCTATGCTCAAGCCAGGAAGGGGCAAATTCCCCCTTCTTTTCTCTTCAGCAAAAGAAGAGCTGTGTCTCAAATTACAACTCCTAAAAAGCCAATTTGTAAAACAAAGGGAGGATCCAGATTTTCAAATGCAGATGAAGGAACTCAAGGTAATCTCTTCTTGTGGTCTAAGGAAATAAGAAACTG